TAGACCACCTGCTTAGGGTGAGGCATCTTCCCTGTTGTTAGCTTTGTGACTGCAATGGCTGCCTTGCGAAGCTGAGTGCAGTTGTATTTCTTGAGTATCTTCTGGTTACCCAAACGAATAAGATTCATCATTGTTACGGAGGAGCAAGCATGTCCAACAGCAGCTCCTTCTTCACAGAGACTAGCCCAAACACCATCAGCTCCAGCACTGAGGCAGTCCAGCTGTGAGGCAGTCTGAAGGTCCCACTTCTGATGAATGTGGACCAATATCTTTCCATCAGAAAACCCGTTGGAGTCCATGACCCTACGCATACTGGCAGTCCATGCCTCCAGCTCTTCAGGGAGGTACTCTCCCAGTGGGTCCTCAAAACACAAAGCAAACATGCGACTTCCTTCAGGAAGACGAGAGAGGTACCTCACAATGTAGAGGACACGATCGGGGTATTTTGTCATTGCAATTGGAAAGTCGCGAAAGTTGAGGAGGATCTTGCCGTTTGGAGCAAACTCACGGACTTGGTCTATCCTTTTCTTGAGGAGCTGGCACATGTCATCGACAGTGAACTTTGTGCCCCATTCGCAGTTGCTGTCTGCAAGGTCAAACTCGAAGAAATTGTTTAAGAGGCCAAACCTCTTGTTTTTCCTGAGGCCAACTGGGACCTTCTTGCTGTCATAGACTCCATTGACAACCCCCTCGGTGACCTCAGAGAAGGAAACGAAGTCAGTGAAATCCTCCCCCTGGTCCCTTAGCCACTTCACGAAGACATCATCAACTCGCTTCATGTTTGCAAAAGATGCGACAATGACGTCCTTGATCCCGCATTTCTTGACATGGTTGTAGATGTCGATCTTGTTCTGGAGAGTATGGCTCTTCAGTTGTCCCACGGTGCTCTCCCGAATGGAATTGTCCAAACAGAAGAAGTCCATAGTCCTCAGTCTCTCTCTCTTCTGTACCCTCACCTGCTCAATGTGAGCCTTGATGGTAGCTACCTCTTGCATCAGGTCGTCAGTTCCTGCAGTTCCACACTCCATTGGTGCTGCCATGCTTTTACTTTCTCCTTCTCCTTCAGCGGTGCTCTGGCCGACTGAGTAGGGCCGCAGCTAGGCTGTGGCTTTTAAAGAAAAGAACCGGTTGAATGATTTAATCATAATACTATAATTATTATTATAGTAATTAATCATTAAATGAATATTAATAATAGGCGTGGCTTATTAATAAAATGGAGGATCAGAGCTATGAAGAGAGACAGAGAGACGAGCTGGAGTTCCTTCAGTTTGTGTTCATGAGCGACTTTGAAGACATGAGAGAGAAGGACACGTGGAAGGTGAGGCTGTCATTATATTGATCTTAGTCTTTTGCATGCTATTGCTGCCACTGAATATTAAGAATAATGATATATTAATTCTCTCCACCTTCTCCTCTCTTTCTGTCCTCAGATCCAAAGACCTCCTGAGATAATGATAAAACTAACGCCACAGAAGAGCATTAGTACTAGTGTACAGAGACTGCAGGTGAGTGTGGTTACAGTTCAGCTGTACAGGGAGTTGGACCGGTATATATACTGTAATGTATTGACTGTATTTATCAAGAAATATTGGCTGGGAATTAATTCCTTGCAATTAGTTTTGCTAGTATTATATGACGTTTCATTTTGTGTACATGTAAATGCACTTTGTGTACAGAATTGTTGTATTTTTGAAACTTGTCGTTTATTATCATTTTAGATTTCTGTCAAGTTACATGCTAAGTATTCTTCCGATTATCCAGACACGCCCCCTCAATTAGACCTTATTGAGCCACACCTTCTCTCCAAGGACCTCGTTAAAGAATTATTAACTGAAATTAATGACCTAGCTAAGAGTAGAATTGGAGAGGTAATAATAATAATAATAATAATAATAATAATAATAATAATAATGGTATTGTTATTTAATGAAATTTATTTTGTAGACGTAATATATTTCAGTGATCAATGGTCATTGTTATACATAAAGTCATAATTAATAGTTAATGTCCTTATGCTGTGTAGCAAGTTTGAGCTGATTCCGACTTCAATTTTTAAAGTTATGGTCGTTTTTAAAAAAGGCCAAAAATCTGAAAAATACCCAAGGCTATAGCCCATGGTTTTTTCCAAAAAATGGCCAAAAAATCACCCCAAATTTTTATTACATTTTCTGATACATATTGATGCCCATATGCTGTGTAGAAAGTTTGAGCTGATTCCGACTTTAATTTTTCAAGTTATGACCATTTTGAACAAAATTATAATATATTATTTTAATTTTTAGGTGATGATGTTAGAAATAGCTCAACACGTCCAATCATTTCTACACAAACACGACCGACCCCCGGTATCACTCTATGAGGAAATGGTAGGGACACACTCACCTCCTCTTCTTCCTCCATTATCATTAAACAAACAACAACAATAAACAATAATAATAATAATAATAATAATAATGATAAACAATGTTCTTCTCTTTTAAGGTTAAGAGGAGAGAGAAAGAAGCTGAAGAAGAAAGCAAAAAGAAGTTTCAAGAACAAGAAGTTGCCAGACACCAAAGACAAGAAGAGGTATACTACATGTACACGTACACGTACATGCACTTGTAGTATAATAGTACATGTACATATACATGTACATGTACATGTACAATATGTACATACTGAATTATACCACATCATACCTGAGTCTCTCTCTCTCTTATACATCAGATTGCTCAGGAGCTGCAGCGGAGACAGGATCAACTGAGAGAGAAACTATTACAAGATTTTGACGAGGTATGTTGTATCTCTATTTAAAGCCCACCTCCCGCCCCCTCACAGGAGAGCTCCAGCGATGATGAACTTGTTACTAAAAATAGTAACAAACAAACCAGTCAGAAGGACAGTGATGACATCACTAACCCTCCCCTACCTCCCCCTCTTGAGGATAATCCGATTGTTGGACGAGGGAACGGGAACATCCTCCGTGGGAAACTGCTGGGTTAGTGTCTGAACGACTCCATGAGTGTACGTATATCATTATGTTGCTAGGAGACAGTAGTCATGGTTACTATTCAGTGTACTGTGGTATGGAGGTTGATAGTGGCAGTCTAGTGTGTATCTATGAATGGATAATACCCTGCAAGACACAGAAGAAGGCTGACACTAGGAGGAGCAGACAAGTAGAAATGATAATAATAATAATAATGATAATAATAATAATAATAATAATAATAATAATAATAATAATGATAATAATAATAATAATAATAATAATAATAATAATAATAATAATAATGATAATAATAATAATGATAATAATAATAATAATAATAATAATAATAATAATAATAATAATAATAATAATAATAATAATAATAATAATAATAATAATAATAATAATAATAACAACAACAATGGTTTCCTCTACTCTACTCACTGCCTGTTCATAGGCTGGAGGAGCTGGTTCAGTTGGCAGGAGTGAGGGTAACCTAGTGAGGGTAGTGTCCATTTTTACTTAGATTAGTCTCTCAAAGTTTAACTCTTGATGTATCATTAATAGGTTGCTAGTATCAGACAGGAATATGATTCATTCAGTGAGAGGTTCATCAATCACTCATCAATTGTCAAATATTTATTAATGAGACACAATCTCACCGAACACGGGATACTAGTGGAGGTACATGTACATGTATATCACTGTTCAAGGGGAAATTTTGGAGGATGTTGAGTGTTTTGATTTTACAAACATGAATTGTTCTGGCAAATACATTTACTTTTAGCTATCAAAATAGCCAAAATTTCTCCTTTTCAAAATCACCAGCTTCATGTACATGTACATGGAGCTGGTGATCCTCCTCCCCCTCCCTCCCTCCCTCCCTACCCTCCTCTGCTGTAGGTTACTATGGAGTACATTACTGGTGGTAGTCTGAACTCTCTTCTTCAAGGATCAAGTTCCTCTCCAATAACTGGAAAAGTATTTAAGCATTAATATCAATTTAATAATTTTAATTATTATTTTAAAGTCCCTCCAGCTTTATAGTAAGCAGTTGCTGGAGGCTGTAGCTTATCTTCACTCACAAGGAATAGTTCACAATGACATAAGGGTAAGCCCCTCCTAATTAAAGTATCATTATTATTATTATTAATTAGCCGTCACTGGTTTTTATTGATCCTGTTCAAGGTGTCAAACTAGCTGGTCATACCATAATCAAGAGGTTATTAATAATTAATTAATTAATTAATCCTTCATTTATTAATTAATATTAAGGTTATCTGATTTGACCGGTAAAGTTAACGAGGAGGCGTGGCCTAGAGGCTTCTTCACTAAACTAGGAGGAAAGAAAACCGATATTTTAAAACTAGTAAATTAATAGTAAATTATTAGTAAATTATTACAATAACTCTCCCCTCCTCCTTTCCCCAGGGTATGGTTATATTCTGTATGTCTGTTGGTCGGGTTACTGTCTCATACCCGCCTGATGTTCCTGAACATTTCAGTGAAGACTTTAAAGATTTTTTAAACAAGTAACAGACAATTTACTAACCATCAAGAACATGACTTCTCTCCCTCTCTCTCCCTCCCTCATAAGGTGTCTCAATAATAATGAATACCAGCGATACCCTGCTCATGAGTTACTGGTTCATCCGTTCATTACTCCGCCCACTTTTATCCCTGGATCTATAGACCATACCCACAGGACAGAGGGTAAGCCACACCCACTTCATTACTGACATATTGTTTCCAGCTGGTTTTGGGCCGCTAAGAGATAAAAGTGCTGACTCATCACTAGCTGATCCTGTCTCTCATGCTGGAGGCAGGTCTCGTCTGGAGGCAGAGTTTGAGGTACTGGAGGTGCTGGGTAAAGGAGGCTTTGGGGACGTCATTAAAGTGAGAACCTTCTACATGTACATGCTACTGACTATCTGGAATTAACAATGTTATTATTTATTTACATGTACATGCACAGGTTCGTAACTACCTGGACAGCAGACTGTACGCCATTAAGAAGGTGAGACTGACTGGCGGCAGTAAAATGATGACCAAACTAACTCGAGAGGTGGAGCTATTGTCACAAATGAACCACGAGAATATCGTCAGGTAGACCACACCCCTGACCCACCCACCACCCTATTGTCACTAGGTATTATAATGCCTGGATTGAGAAGTACAGCGAGCCTAATCACCATGGCAACGAGGAGGAGGGGGAGGAGTTTAGTGATAGTTCGGAAGATGAAGACACGACAGAAGAAGAAGAGGAGGAGGAGGAGGAGAGAGAGGAAGGACTGTCCTTCATTGAATTCAAATTAGACGAATCTACAACACTAAACTCATCAGATCAGATCAGAGATGATTCCTACTCCTTCAGTAGTGATGTCTTCACTGATACTGAAGACAGGGACGTGTTCAAAGGGAAGGTTGATACCCCTGGTACTAATGTGGCTACTCTATTGGAGGCTGACCTAATGGTAACCACACCCAGGAGAGGATTCATACAGTAAGGGCTGGTAATACTCGTATACATGTGCATGTATTTTATATTGTCTATCTTGTGTCTTTATTAGTTCGGAGTCTTCTGATTCTGTGGTATTTCAGGACACTAGTTTAATGGCTCCTCCTGGAGGAGAGGGAGAGGAGGGAAGCACTGCAGCTGCTGGTGGTGGTGGTGGTGCTGGTGGTGGTAGAGCAAAGCAAAAGCAAACAGGACAATCACAGTACCTGTACATACAGGTAAGGGAGGGAAGGAGAATGAGGAATGACTGAGGGATGATTAATAGTCACTGTTAGATCTAGAGGGAGTTTAGGAGGCTCTTGGTCTCTCATATTTAGCCCTAGGTCTCCTTCAGTATCCCATTCTTAGTTAGATTGGTATTCCAGTAGTTCTAACAATGATCATGTGTCTCTTTAGATGGAGTACTGCTCCAATCAAACCCTTAAGGTATTGATTGATTCCGGTCAGCTAGTGAAGAGCCCAGGGTTTGAGTTAGGCTGGCAGCTGTTTCGAGAGATCACTGAAGGACTGGCCCACATTCACTCCCAGGGGATGATCCACAGGGACCTCAAACCAGTCAATATATTCCTTAACTCTTCCGGACATTGTAAGATTGGTGACTTTGGACTAGCTACAACCTTCAGTAAATACCACACAGGACTATCAAGACAGCAATCCATACCCAGCAACACCAGTATACTAGCTGGTGAGTGTTAGGATTATTTATTCATTTATTTATTTATTTATTTATTTATTTTATTATTATTAGGTGACACTGGTCTAGTCGGTACTATGCTGTATTTAGCTCCAGAGCTTCTAAAGTCGGTAGTCAAATACACTCAAGTTAGTCCATTCAGTACATCATGTCCTAATATGGTGTGTCTCTCGTTAGAAAGTGGACATGTATAGTTTGGGGATCATCCTGTATGAGATGTCCCACCCACCACCTGCTACAGTGATGGAGAGGGTTAAGATACTGACTGATGTTAGGAAGAAGGAGATCGTCTTTTCTGAAAGATTCAAGACATCAAAGAAGATGAGCAAACAGGTTACTACTAATACTACAATTACAATTTACACTGCATGTACAATGTACAATTACAATATACTACAATTACTAATACTATTACAATGTACAATTACTATTTACACTACATGTACAATTACAATATACTACAATTACAATTACTATTACAATGTACAATTACTATTTACACTACATGTACATTGTGTATATGTACATGTACATGTAGTAAATTTTTTCTATTCATGTCCAGCTGTTTGTTGTCAAGTGGTTATTAAACCATAGTCCAGCTGAGAGACCAACCAGTGCCCAGTTACTGAACAGTTCACACGTACCAAGACAGATCGAGGAGGAGCAGCTGCAAGAAGTAACCAATAATTTAAATTATACATGTATGTACATGTATATATTTTACATCAATCTCTCTCCTCCCTCCCTCCCTTACTCCTCCCTCCCTCCCTCTCCCTCCCTCAGGCTGTCGAACACACTCTACAGAATCCCAACTCCTCCCAGTACAAGAGACTAATGGAGAAACTCTTCTCTCAAGAGAATTCAAAACTTTTTGAAATGTCTTTCTTCTCTGAGCATTCAAGCCTTGACCTGGATAAGGTGAGACATGAGATCCTTAATATTGAGAGCTGTAATAAAGATTCATTCACTCACTGTACATGTAGGTCAATAAATCATCCTTCAGTCCTACATATTTCCTATTGCAGCAGTTTGTGTGGAATGTGACTGAATCAGTATTCAATAAACACTGTTAGTCATCATGTTGTTGTTATTATTATTATTGTTTGTTTGTTGTTGTCAGGTGGTTTGTGTGTTAATGTTCCTTTTCTTGAGCCAATGACTGAGTCCTTGGTTGGAATGGAGGGAACAGTCCAGCTGCTGGAATCAACTGGAAAAATAATAACATTACCACAGCATCACTGGGTAGGATCAGCAATAAATATAATATATGTATAATATTAATAATAATTATTAATTTATTTCAGTTGTCATTTTCTCGTTATGTTTTGCAACACGATATCACTTACCTCAAAAGGTATACATGTACATGTACATGTATTTTATTAATTATTAATTATTATTAATTAATTAATTAATAGATATGAATTATTCAAAGGGTATCAGTTGTCACGGCTACCGGGGACACACCCAAAGGAAAGACGTCAATTTATATTTGACATTGTGTCCCCACCCACTGCCACACCTACTGTCACGCCTACTCACTCAGCAAGAAGTAATAAGTATGTATGAATATTGATTAATTAGTGGGTGTGGTCATGTATTAATTAATGGGTGTGTCCTTTATTTACAGGTTAATTTATGAATGCGAATTGATATCCATTGCAACAGAAATACTATCAGATTTACAAGTAATTAATTAATTATTTATTAATTTATTATTATTATTATTAATTGACAGATTAATCAAGTGTATATTAGAATCAACCACACCTCACTCATTAATAAAATATTAAACTATTGTTCAGTTCCTCAGGAGCAGCAGCTGATTATTATTAATTATCTTTTTAAATTATCCGTGAGTCATGAATCACCTTTATTATAATGAATTACTGCTTGGTGCTCTTTAATTAGAGACACGCTGACATTGAGTGGGATTTTAAGACTAAACTGAATCTCCAGCTGTCCCCATTAGCAGTGAGTTTATGCAGTGTAGCTAGAAAAAATAGTGGAGTAAAATTTTGGTGAATTGAGTAATTTTCAGAATTTTGGCATTTTCTTAAAATGGCAGTAACTCAAAAAATTGAAGTCGGAATCAGCCCAAACTTTCTACACAGCATAAGGACATCAATATGTATCAGAAAATGTAATAAAAATTGGAGATGATTTCGGACCCATTTTTTGGAAAAAACCATGGGCTATAATAGCCTTGGGTATTTTTCAGATTTTTGGCATTTTTTTAAATTGGCCGTAACTTGAAAAATTGAAGTCGGAATCAGCTCAAACTTTCTACACAGCATAAGGACATCAATATGTATCAGAAAATGTAATAAAAATTGGGGATGATTTCGGAGCCATTTTTTGTAAAAACCCATGGGCTATAGTACAGTATGCTTGTCTACTGTACTTGTAAGACTTCACTAAATTGAAGGTGCTATAGTACATGTGGTGATGTATCTCTTTCTGTCCCTCCCTCAGTTGAAGACTCTCACTAAACTGCTGACTAGTCAAGTTCCTCTAGATGAAGCTCATTCTCTCCTGGAGCCTCTTACTAGAAACAAATCAACAGTACATGATCAGTGACACCTGTGTCTAA